TTTTTTTTTTGTTTTTTTTTTTTTGTACTGCCTTATATATTTTTCTCTCACCTCACATATCTTTTTTAAACCACAGGTCCCCCCGCCACCGAAAACCCTCGGACGACCTGTAGTGCGCGCTCGCTGTTTTTTGGTTGAACGACCGATTTTTCGTGGCCTACCGAGTCCCATCCCGACATGCCGTTTTCAATGTGGGACCCGGTAGGCCCGGTGGTAAGGAATGACGTCGTTGCAGCACGATGTCCGTGTTCACGGATCCTGACAAACGAAAAGAATATTTCCTTTTTTTTTATTTTTTGCTTTTGTTTTTTTGGTAAGTGTTTTGCATTTCTTTTCGAAGTGTTTTCACTTTCGTTCTATAATGTTTTTTTTTTTTTTTTTTTTTTTCCCCCGTGCCTACGGTTTATTGCGTCTGAAACGACGCGCTCGCCCCCCTTCTGCCCCCCCACCCCCGAACTTGTAGTCGTAGGTGTCGGAAAACGAATCGCCCCTGCATACCCCCTTCAACGAAAGTCTGCCGCGGACGCCACCAGCGTGGATACCTCTCTCTCTCTCTCTCTCTCTCTCTCTCTCTCTCTCTCTCTCTCTCTCTCTCTCTCTCTCTTATATATATGTATATGTTTCGTACGTCCGTTCGGAAAGAAGGAGAGAGAGACTTCTTCGTCAAGACGTCCGTACGGTGCATCCGCATCGCGGAGGGTAGAGAGAGAGAGAGAGAGAGAGAGAGAGAGAGAGAGAGAGTCTTCTTCGTTCTTGATTGTCTTCTTCTTCTTCTTCGTTTTCGGTCTACTTCTTCTTTATTCTTCATCTTCTTCTTCTTCTTCCTTCTTGGTGTTTTCCTTCTTCTTTCTTCTTCGTCTTCTTCTTCTTCTTTCTTCTCTTGCTCGTCTTTCTTGTTTTTTTTCCGCTTCGTCGTCTTTCTTCCTCTTCTTTCGCTTCTTCTTCGTTGTAGGTCTCCTTATTCTTCTTTTTCGTTCATCTTCTTCTCCTTCATTTGCTTCGTCTTCTTCTTCTTGTTGTTGTTTCGATTCATCATCTTCTTCTTGTTCTTGGAATATAGAGAGTTCTTCTTTTTTTGCTTCTTCCTCTTTTTTTCATCTCCTTCGTCTTCTTATTCTTCTTTCGCTTCTTCTTCTTCTTCTACTACTACTACTACTAAAAAAAACAGGGGAGAGATGGGATAGAGAGAGAGAGAGATATGGTCGATGAAAGCGGCGCGGCATCCCCACGTACGACGGCGCCATTGCCGTCGTTGTCTTCGTCAGCTGCACATGGCGGGGGGGGGRTTGGTGCGAACCCCGTTCCCGTCACGAATCCCGTACCTCCGCCCGCTTCCCCATCCTCTCCATCAGCGCCCTCTGGCGTGTTTGGGCAATCAACGGGGGATACAGCCGTGCATAATGCGGAGGGATGGGGGGACCTTCCGCAAGGTGTGCACGAGCTAAATGGTGGTTAGGGGGGCGATCCGAAACGCAGTCCGATCGGTTGGGCGGCCATAGCCGCCACGTACTCGCACTTCCCTGCATGGACATTCCCCCCTCCGCCA